GAGGGAGCTGTACGATAACTGCAACAAGTTTACTACCATTGGATACAATATATTACTTGTAATACAAACACAAGACACTAGTAAAACATTCACAACAAATGTATTTATAACATATATGTAGGAACAAAACATAAATTACAGGTTATTTTGTAATTTTGTCTGTTCTGTTCAGGATAGTGTTACCAGATATTTTGTCTCAAACACGAACCGTAGGTGTATACTTATTCTTGTGGCCGACTGTACATAATGCAGTGGAGTCTCAGAAATACAGGTCGCTGGACCCTGACGTTTGTCTTAGAAATACTGTACAGCTACACTTCCTCTGCCTACCTTAAGCAATAATGCTCCCATACTCTGCTGCCCACGTCCCCACTCAGCATGCTAATTCGAGCACACAAAGAAATGTTTTTCCCTTGAAGCTTTTGATCTTATATTTTTGGGGGGCACATTTTGTATGTAGGATTGTGTGTACAATCAAAGACAAAAGTTATGTAGCGGTTTTGTCCAAAGATTAAATATAACTCGTGAAACATTATCAGAGCCCCGCCCCCTACCACAAGGCAGAGTGCACCAGATTATAATCATAACCTAGCATACTGTATAGCTAACAGGTAAGGAATGGTTGAAAATGTCCCAGTAATGTAAACAGACACAAACAAAAGAAGATTATTTGTAAATTTTCATTGGTATCGGGTACTTGTAGATCTAAAGCAGCATAAATATAGTGAATAAGGTTCTGTTCTTCGTGAAGCATCATAAAGAAGCTAGGGTATGGTAGGCTTATTGTAAGCATGAACTGTACCGGGGAGCTACTGTTCACCAAAATGAACCACAAAAATGCATGAATTTTAACCCTTCAAAATTATTGCATATTTTGCATAAAAAGTTTATCATAAACACTCGAACTACTGTATACTTAAGTATACAGTAGAAACTTCTTGATTTATTCAGTAATCACGTTCTTGAAAATGGTCGTGTAAGTAAAAAATGCATTAATCAAACAATGTAAATTGAGGAGATTAGGGGGTTTTGTATATAATAAGACAGAACCCAATATTATACTAGTGAAAACTACAAGCAGGTTGATGGGAACATTTTCATGAGTTTGGCGTTTGATCCATGTGCTCAACATTCGGAAATACGAGGTCTTATATTCACCGATTTAATGTTCCACTTTTCGCACTCTCCTTGATTTTCTCTGCATTATCATGAATAGTCCATAAAGTAGATTCAATAAGTTCAAGGGCACGTGTAATTTGTTTACCTCTCATAACATTTGTGCACATCCATCTTAATCTCAATGGTGATGGCCTTCTTAGCACCACTGGTACAGTACCAGGAGAACTTAAAGGTGGCATGATGTAAGGGGCAGACCATATACAGTACAGTATACTGCAACACAAAATACAGTAGGACTCCATGACTATAGACTGTATCCAGGCACTGAGGACTGCAAGGTGGGAAGCTGCATACCTATGCCGTGTGTACTTGCTAGCAATGCAACACCAACACGCTGCCAGCTCAGTGATGATGCTTGTCGATCGTCACGTTATTCCCAACGTAAACTCCCGTAAATTAAATAAAAGTGTAAATGGACTGTGCTTGTTATTCTAAAACTGGTGTAAACCAAACAGGTAGCAGGCAGCTATCAAACAGGGAGGTACTACCGCCTGGGAAGATATTGGAAGCATTATGTGTTGTCTAATGGTAGACCCTGCTGCCACATGGCATCACGAATATTGTGACCAAGTCCCAGGTTGCTGATCTGTCTTTCTGCCTCATTTACACACAATTGCAGGATTTCTCAATTGTTTCTCTTACTAGTGACAACACAACATACAGTACTAAACATATAGCGTTTCTCACTATTAATTATTATTTTTTTCTTTATTATCATTATTACAGTATTGTTATTATTATTATTGTTATTATTTTATTTTACTTTTTATTATAAAATTTATTTACTATGAATTACTATTATTATTATAAAATTTTTGCCTCCCAGGCCCCAATGTGGGTCAGTGACCTGTGCCCGGGTGGGCTAATCAACTAAAAAAAAAAAAAAAAACATGCATAAATCGAGAAGTACCTGTACATACTGTATATATTAAACGATACGTTAGTACCAGAAAATTTGGGGGAGGATTTGCTATTGCCGACTTAAACTGGAAAATTTAAAATTCCCTGCACTAAGACGTTGATCCTATCTATTGGCAAAACTCACCAACACCAAGAAACTGCCATAAATGGAAATGTAAGAGAGTAAGTTGGAATATTTTACTATACTTTCTGTGAGAAATATCATGATTGAGGAGGGAGACCTGTACTCAAGACCTCACCCAACTGACTATCATCTTGGGTGCACATTGTATTACCTCACTAAATTTGGCTGGATGTGTATGGTTTACCAGTGGCACTCCTATTAGTGCTGGGTGAGCATTAAGTGACAAAAGTGCTTCTGTGTTCAAAAAAGCCAAGGAAATCTATATTGTTAGAGGTGAAAATGGAAGGACAGTACTGTACTGTAATTGAGCAAGATAAACTACAGTATTAAGAGCAGTATGAGGAGGCAGCTATTCACATGCTGGCTATCAAAAGATTGTCAAAACAAGTAGCCACACAAACACCAACCGTGCATGCAGCTAGTCCGTACACTTAGGGGAAAAAACTGTACAACACTCATAAATATACACACCTCCACACTATACAGACAGCCACACATGGGTAACAACAGTGCACAGGGTGGCCAACCTTATAAACTTGCTCTCAAATTTGGGTAACCTACTGACTCCTTCTAAGTCTGGGCCTCAGGTGGCGACCCTGTCTGCCCTCTCCCTTAATCTGGCCCTGGATACGGCTGCTTTATCTACACTGACAAATTACCAGGCAGAACCATTACCAAATAATTATAAGATCTCTGTACTGTATTCTTCCATAGTTTAGGATTTATGTGGTCTGAATTGTGTGCCAAACAGTCTGTGCGGGGTGACAGCGTAGATATACAAAAGTTGCTGGCGAGGTATATACGACACTCAGTGTGAGGCACGATGGGTGTGCGTCACATAATAGCACCGAGTAACCATTGTCAAAGTGAGTGATTATTTTCCTCGTGATTGTCCATGTGCTGTTTCATGTTTCACAACTTTTGGCCCTTATTATGAGAGGCAAATACCCATCTACATCCAAGGATGCCTCTCAGCCCAAGAAGCGGCGAAAGGCCATCATTATTGGTGTTAAATTAAGACATAATAATCCACATTAAGAGGATATGGTATTGTTAATGTAGGTCGGGTTGTTGGCTCTAGCGAGAATATGGTCCAGACAATACATGACAATGCCCCCCAAAATTAAAGAAAGTGATAAGTCTAGTACCTCAAAGACATTGTATGTACGAATTTTAATCAGCATGTGGATTGAGGATCAAAACCAGTGGAATGTGCCAGTCAGCAACCTATTGACTCAAGCCAAGACCCATTCAATTTATGCTGATTTAGCTGTATTCTTTTGTCTTTATGATTGTGAGTTACAAATACACAGTGAAAAATAAAACACAGTGAAGGAAATACGTATCTACAGTATATAGTATAGATGTACAAAGGAGTTTTGAGGCAGCATTCCCCTTGACCCCACCACTTCCTTTTTGTATTTCTTATGGGAAAACTATGTTTGATTTGCATGTTTTTGAATTATACAGCCATTTTTAAAACTGCAAATACAGTATTGCATAAATCAAGAGGCAGCTGTCCTGGAGATCAAGAGGCAGCTGTCCTGGAGATCAAGAATTGCATCCCAAAATTCCCATAAGTCATTAAAATTTCAATTCACACGAATTCAAATCACACATCATTCAACGGGAAGATACTCCCCATGTACAATGAGGGTTTACTTTATGTATTTAAAATTTTAAGCATAAATTAAATTCAAATTCAATGGTATTACTTCCAGCCTTAATCTTCAATGTACAGTATTAATTCCAGTCTTAGTGTACCATGTAGATAGCTGGAGGTCTCACCAGCACCCAAAACCGAGGCAAACATTTCATAGGCAATGACAATGGCCCTGTGAACCCCATATCAAAGTGCTACTATGAGAGTGGGATGACAACAACCATGTAAATTGTATGTCATGTGTGCAATGTTTGACTTTCCAGCCATGAAACAACTGCACGAATGTTCTTGAAACACTTGATCAATACACAAAGAACATCACTAATTCCAGTTGAGTAAACGACTTCATCAAAGGTTCAAGACAAGACCATGCAGTAATATATCATCAATTAGTTAACAGTCTACTTACGGTAGATACAAGATGTGCTCCACTCCATCGGAATTATTTACAAATTAGTTCCAAGTAAATGATAGGGTGCAATTTCAAGGTTACCACAAGCTACTATCAAGTTAGGTCATGATGCAAAAGCTAATCTGTATATTTAGCCAATACTGTAGTTGAAACACCTTTAAACAATCCCATCCATAATCCTCAAGATCCAGTATATATACATTTGATGACAACTTTAATTTCAGGTCATCAGGTTTTAACACCCAACTTTCTAAACCCTCTACATGTTTAAACCATGCCAATTCGAATTAATTGTAAAGTCATGTTAACTACATCTACAAGAATTTTTTTTTACCCATTAGTTGCAGTGCATTCAGAGTTGTCATTGACAAGATCAAAAGTAATATAAAAGCACTATGGTGTAATGAGCAGGAATACCCTTGTTGCACTCACATCACCAGTGAAAAGCACGTGATATACCGTATGCAGATACCCCCCTGTACATAATAAGGGAATCATGAGAAATAAATCTATATATACTGTATTAATATACAAACCAATTATATATCAGAGACAGCCTTGAAGGAAGTGAAGAGGGGGCAGAATGTTTAAGAGGCAATTTGGAGCATAATATTAACCGTTAAAAGGAAAAACAAGTAAGGGTATAAAAAACAAGATGAGTGCACATGAGAGTTGGGAGAGTGTTGGTGAGAGGGACATACACTGGCTTGTGACTGGAGGATGATGGTGGCGGGACGTGCGGCTGCGGACGACACCATCACGGACCTCACCGCGACCGTGCCAGCCTGCATGATGCAACACAAGAAACACTATCAAGCATGGGACACACCAGAGAGAGGGAGAGATGGAGCCAGGGCTGAGGGAAAAGCACAGTGTTCTCATCAACTCTTGTTAATCCAATATAAGTTTTTACAGTTCACCGATTCATTATCTTCTTAAATCTAAGTACTGTATGTAACATTATAAACAGATCAGACAAGTATGAGGACTTTTGAAGACATTTTATGGATTAACAGGTTGAGAGAACAGACTGACAAGGGTGCACCTAGGCCTTCTAAAACTCATAAAGCAACAGTTATAAACAAACTCAACTAGGTGCACACACACACATACATCCATGTATTAAACACACACATAGAAAGTTGTCATGCTTATACCAATGTATGCTTATCTTACACGATATAGTTTCCTTTATCTACACAATAAAATGGGCAATCATTTTTTTTTTTGTATAAATAAAGGAAGCTCCATCACTACTCTCTCCTCAAGACTTATGACTACATATTAACATTAAATTAAGTAAAACCACATTGGCAAACAGGCTGGCCATTGTAAATCCAACTGTAGGTTTGTATAAAAAAAACTTATGTGAAAAATTACTACTGTACCATCTTTCTATTCTTCTGGTTGAAGAAAAAATACATCACTACTTATAATCCTCCTTGACAAAAAAGGTCAGTATGTTTAGAGGGAAACAATAAAAATATTAAATAAAAAACCAGGGAGGAAACATTAGGAGGACTCATGTCAATATTATTATTTCTTCATAAGTCTGATTTTTATCCCTGTAGTACAGTACTTTTAAGAATATTAAATAAGTTTATTGACATAACTTCTATTCTTTTATTTCCACACATGCACAAATTCATATCTATCATATCCAATAATCCACCTCCACTATCAGTAAGGTGGTTCATGCAATCTCCTTCAAGCAGCCCTCTTCTTGTACAACTCTTAAACACTCCACAGCACTCACTCCCTCTGAAAATTCCCCATGATAAAATTTGAGGGTTCTGTTTGGCATCGATATTATTTTTCCCCTCTTGACACATGGCCGACAGAGCTTTGAGCACACAAACCTTGGACAGATCCATCATTTCTGACACTTAGTTCACTGACAGAAGATCCCCTCGTTCTCAAAATCACGGTGTAAAATTCATAATTAACAGGAAAACTAATACTGTATACGACATATGTTCACATACAGGTAAAACAACCTAATAACATAAACGAGGGCTGTGAAAGAATTAAAACTACAGTGGCAGCAATTGAAATCTTTACATTTTTGGCGCAAATGAAAAGTTTACACAGCGTGCAGTGTAATGATTTTAATTGTGTTCCCGGGCATACACAAATGGGAGGAGCTTGTGATCACGTCACCGCCTCCCACACACCCCCAGCCACCAAGGCCACTCTCTTGAGTGAGCCACGCTCTCTGAAAGAGAGAGGTGCAAATATACATATCACCACCACCCGGCATTCTTCACTTTTGCGCCCACTTTGAGAGCCTATATCTCCACTCAGACTGAACAGAATGGGTCGCAACAAGCTCACAATAAATGAAAAAGCTCGGGCTTTAACCCAATCGGAACTGGGGACGTCTGTGATACGCGTTGCCGCAGACTTAAAAGTTTCAAGGCAAGCCATTTACCACCTCAGAAACGCAGCGGCGACTTGCCACCCAGCGCTATACCGAAGAGGAAAGTGGGATCTGGGGCAGTTAGGAAGACTTCACCAAGGACAGACAACATCCTGAAGAGTGAAGTGATATTTGATCCTGCTGTAACAGGTTTTACACTGAAGAAAAAGCACCCAGACCTCCTCAAACATGTGGCAATCAGGACCATACAACATCGTCTCCAGAAAGACCTCGGTTTACCGACTCGGCGCACAGCTAAGAAGCCTCTTCTCATTGAGGCTATGAAGAAGAGGCTTAGACATCCCCAGTTCCAATTGGGTTAAAGCCCGAGCTTTTTCATTTATTGTGAGCTTGTTGCGACCCATTCTGTTCAGTCTGAGTGGAGATATAGGCTCTCAAAGTGGGCGCAAAAGTGAAGAATGCCGGGTGGTGGTGATACGTATATTTGCACCTCTCTCTTTCAGAGAGCGTGGTTCACTCAAGCAAGTGACCTTGGTGGGTGGTGCCTGGGGGTGTGTGGGAGGCGGTGACGTGATCACAAGCTCCTCCCATTTGTGTATGCCCGGGAACACAATTAAAATCATTACACTGCACGCCGTGTAAACTTTTCATTTGCGCCAAAAATTTAAAGGTTTCAATTGCTGCCACTGTACATCCCTAAACAGCTGTACAATAGCCAATCTACTTTTGACTCATATTAGTTTACGACAAAATTAATCCTGTGAGCTTAGTGTTCAACAATGGATGTGTTTGAAATACTGCCCATTTATTAACTCCACTGAACACACATGTTGATCCAGACAGTGTTGTAACATAAGATTATCATCAAAATACATTACAGGAGTACACTGAGCTATAGAGAAGAATTAGTTGTGCAGCCTCAAATTTACCAGGAGCATGTTAATTAAGCAAACTGAGATGATCAGGAAAATACAATGCTGTGAAGAGAAAAAAAGTATTTACAGTCTTTATTCATCTTGAAAAGTTACATTATTTAAGAAGTCATGATTGGCACAAAGTTAACACGAGTGCCAACAATGATATAAACATTACAACGGTCTGCATTTTAAGTAAAGTTGAATGATGTTTTAAAATGGAGACGTGGTTCTGATTCGTTATTTATCAAGGATTTCAAAAATAGACTTTGTTTTGCTCTATCACGTCACACTTTATTACCAATAAGACAAGATAATATAACTTACACAAATACAACATACAAATAAGACAATTCAGCAGTCTTCAAAGTTAACTAAGCCTAAAGATTATTGTGATTAAGGCTATTTGGCTGCAAATATAGAAAGAAATGATAAACGTATGTGAATATGTATGAACATAATATTAGGCTTCTAGGGTGGGTGAAACTTTCTTTGTCAATTTTCTGGCAATCTTTTCACTGGCACAATCTCTCTTCAGCATCCAGCAGTTGTCTGCCATCATGTTCACATTCCACCGTCCTTGACACCTCTTTTCCATTTCCTTAATGTCCTGGTGAAATCTTTCACCTTATTCTTCACTTAAACTACCTAAATTTTCAGGAAAATACTCAAGATGGGAATGTAAGAAATACACTTTTACACTCATGTTGCAACCCATGTTCTTAAAGTTATTCAACATACCTTCAACAATAATTTGATAGTTTAGATCTTTTCTATTGCCTAAAAAACTATTCATAACATTCTTGAAACTATTCCATGCTTCTTTCTCACACTGGTTCATCGATTCTTCAGATTGGTGGTCCAACATTAACTTTTGGATTTGAGGGCCCACGAAAATGCCAGCTTTGATTTTTTCCATATGAGACTGATGGAAATTCCCTGCATATGTACCTGAAACAATCACTTTCCTTATCTTGGGCTTTTACAAATTGTTTCATTAACCCAAATTTAATATGCAGAGGCGGCAACAGCACTTTCTTAGGGTCAATCAATGGTTCATGTAGAATATTTTTTGAACCTGGCACAAGAGCCTGTCTAGGTGGCCAGTGTTTTTGTCCCAATGTTCACATCTTGTTCTGCTGTCCCACTCACACAAAAAACATGACATTTTCGTGTATCCACTCTGTTGACCAAGCAACAAAGCAATGACTGTGAAATCTCCACAAACCAACCAACCATGATCTTCATAATGAACTTTCTCTAGAAGTTTCTGAAAATTTGCATAAGTTTCCTTAAGATGAACAGAGTGAGCCACAGGAATTGATGAAAATACATTTCCATTATGAAGTAAAACTCCTTTGAGACTTGTTTTTGAAAAATCAATGAACAACCTCCATTCAGTAGCTGTATAGGTAATGCCAAAATAGTTAATTAAAGCAGACACATTGTTACAATAAACCAAAGAGCCTTCCTCTGAAAAAAATTGAACCAGTTCTTGTTCATGTTGCCTATACCATGAAAAATAAGTCCCTTTGCTCAATAACTTCTTTGATTTCAGCCTAGATCCTAAAAGTTCAGCAGATGCCTTTAGTAAATACCTCCGGTACATCACTAATATCTTCAGGTTGATAAACATCATTTCCGTTATCTGACGGTGAATCACGGTCAGATTCTGATGAAACAGACTGCAACACATCTAGTGGAATGGGGACTGGAACCTCAGGACCATGTGGCACTGGTCTCATGGCAGATGGAATGTTGGGATAAATGATTTCTTGTCTATTTTTTGCATTATTTCCCTCAATCTTCACAGAGGAAAAATAAGTCATCACACTGATTTTTAGGCTCCCACCATACCATAGGGACTCCAAATGGCACCGCTTTTTTCTTGCCATATTTCCAATCTTAAACCTTCAACACAAGTGCGGCATACTTTCTGGCACCCAAGGTTTATCTAAATCACCTATTTGCACTCCCAAGTCGGCAAAATACTGCATGCATTTTTCACGAATGCGGTTATTTCTTGTTGTTGCTTATGCACAACAAAGCACCCACATATGTAGCAGAATACGTTTGGATTGTTCATACATCCACGAGAAGACGTATTACAACAGGAATAGTATCATAGGAGAGCAAAACAAGGAGATTTAACACTACAGCTGCTGATGCGACACTGAACAATGGCCTTTGCCTCAAGGATTCCATTTGTCAATAAACCTTGTGATAGACAAAAACTGAAGTCATCTGAAATCAACATTAAAAACAGGGTAGGGAACACATATTAGTTTGAAAACATCAAGATTCATGCAGACCGGTGAATTATACCAGGTTTATGGTCCAGCACATGGAAAGTGTTACCATTGTATGGCAACTATACAGGTACTGTAGTTTGATTTTAGCACTAATGACCTCTGCCCAAAAGCAATGCACGAATTCAGTTTCACAGAAAAGGGTAAATGAAAAGTGGGAATTTTATAAGCCCTGATTATCT